CAATACATGAATAGATCATATCAAATGCAATGAAATGAGTCAATACATGAATAGATCATACCCAAATGCAATGAAATGAGTCAATACATGAATAGATCATACCCAAATGCATGAATTGAGTCAATACATGAATAGATCACACCCAAATGCATGGATGGTAAGTAAGAGTAGATCGTTTCGATATGCTAATCATTTGTGTTCAGACAAAATGATTGTCAATGATTTATACAAAGATGCTAACCTTAAAATGGCCAGTATTACTTAGTGTGACATGGAATCTATACGTCAAAATTGATATGTTTATAGAGGGAATATGTATTTTCTGATTCCATTAATTAATTGATTACTAGCCACTCTTAAATTATTATTTATCTAGTTTTTTTTTTTGGTTCATTCATATTTACCGTCTGAAATTATCTTGTGATACATGTTCTGATACCAAATATATGCAATATTAATTATAGCATTCAAAAAAGCATTTCATACGATATTTCATTTGTTCCTCGAAAATTTTCGAATTTATCAACATTCCAAATTAATAAAACTTATAATTAATTTCTTATTTAAATAATTTCAAAATGATAATTTAAATAATTTTTAGATTTGAAATATTTTTAAACAAAAAAAAAGTGCTAATAAATAAAATTGTAGCAAATTCATGCCAAAAGTTAAAACCAACGGGAGAATTTCAATTACAATAATCATTGATAGAAGTGATAAAAAAAAAGTACAACTACTGATTTCAAGAATTTATCCTTATCACTTCCAACTTTTCTCATATAAGCTAATACTAATTAATTGCTAGCCTATAGCATTAAATTTGTAATGTTGCAGTAAATTATTCTTAGAGACGTAATTTGTAACTAAAATCAAATAGTAAATAAAAATGTTTTTTGCTGTAAATGCTGTCGAAAGTAATAATTTCAATGATGCAAGATGTTTGGCTAAAGTAAAATTTAGTTTTAACAATGTAATGGTTGTTAGTTTAAATTTGGCTAATTTTAAAACGTCTAGCACATTTTTTAAAACACTTTAATAGTCTAACTAAGAGTAGGAAAATAATGGAAAAAAGATGGTGGAAATTTAAAAAATTCAACCATAATTATAGTTTATTTTCATTGAAAAAAAAAAATAAAATGAGAAATTAGGAATCAGTTAAGCGATAGAAATGTTGTCACCTGCTTGTCACAAGTGATATCTTGCATTTGAACACTATGGTAATAACTTTTCGCATTGTTTTCTGTACGAGCAATGATAATCTCATTGATTAATTAAATTTTGATTTAGCAGAAACTATTAATAAACAAATTTAGGCAGTTATTTTTTAATTAAAATTGGTTGGATTTACAAAATTTAACTTTTTCAATATGTAAAACAAATTTTGATAAAATTGCAAATTTCATTCAGTCAAATTAATTTATAAAGGAGAAGAGAGTTTTCATTGAAGTTTATGTATCTTAAATTTTTATTCAATATTGCTATTCCATTTTTATTCAGTATTTCCATTCTTGTTTCTATTCAATTCTACTTTTATGAAATATTATAAGAACTCACCCATGAAATCAAAGGAAAAAAATTTTTTTTGAATGTGATTTCGAAATTTGAATCCTTAAAAACTTCATAATTTAGTCAATAAATTTTAGCATTTTAAAATTTACACTCTGGAAATTATGAATTTACGAAATTTTAGGATGACTTTTTGATTTTTGATTGAAGAATCAAATATTTCATTTAATTCAAATGAAATTACTAACACTGAAGCAACCTATCATTTTGTATTTACAATGCCAACAAATTTGTAATATGACATGAATTTAATAATTGTTGGTAATTAGATTCTCAATCATAATTAGGATATCTTTATAGCATTTTTTGCATATTTTTCTTTTTCAACCTCCCTTCCAAAATATCAGTGGAAAATTAAAACTTTCAAAAAAAAAAATGTCAGGAAATCATTTGTCATTTCAAATTTCTAATTATATATTCATTGAATTGTAGAAATAAAAAACCACTTTTCCATTATATTCTAAAATTAATTGCTATTTATAATTAAAAGGAATGTAGTAAGTAAAATGAAATTATTCCAAAAATAGTTAATTGTTAAAGTTTTAAATTAGATATATGCTTAATTGCAATGAATACAGACTATCTAAGATATCTATTTTGGGAAAAAGGTATAAATGAATTACGATGCAAATAGCAAACAATAGAACTGATAAATCATTTCTAATGTATTTGAATTTGAAATATCAATCATTTAGGTGAATTATTCAACCTAATTAATGTATAATGATAATATCTGAGCTGTATCAATAACAATTAATAATTAAATACTATTTTACTAAATCTTTTATCCCGCGTTAATGGAAATGCTATTTTTTTTCTTTTTATTTCTTTTTTTATTTGTTATTTTTCTTTTTATAAATCACAAAACACAACAATTGGAAATTAATCCAATAAGCGCCAAAAAAAAGAAAAAAAAAGACAAAAGTACCAAATTGTTTGCTATCAGTTCAACCAAAAAACATTAGTTATATCATCGATCGATCAATGATCATTTTCATATTTTCTTCATCATTTTATCTAATCTTTTGTTTTTTTTTTTTATCAAATTTTTATAAATTATTGTAAATGGAATTAGTAAAATAGAATTATTGATGATATAGGATGAAGATTTCATCTCCAATACAACATTATTTGCAATTTTTTTTTTTTTTGCCAAATTAAAGGTATACTCATTTAGTTTCGAAACTAGTTTCAATTAGTCATCGAATAATGGATCAATCAATCATTGTTAATTATATTTAAAGAAGAACCACTTCATACAATCATTCCAACCAACAACAACAATTACAACAATTGAAGATTAACACAATGAAAGGAGGAGGAGCAGGCAAAAAGGGGTTTCAAATGGAAAAGAGGAAAATAAATGGCGCAAATAGTAATATAGCTATTTTGATGATAGCGTATCTTCGTTAGGAAAAGAAAAAAAAACACTCGAGATTATGAGATTAAAATTCGAGAATCTCCCCTTATCCACTTGACTAATATTTACAATTCTTTCCTTCTAGCTAATTCTATATCAAAATTTAATTAATTAACAGGACAACTCTTTACAACAAATACTTTAATCATCTATAAATTATCTGCAATTGTATAAAAATAAATAATTAGCTAAGTTTTAATTTCTGAGACATATCGTACATCTTACGGATTAATTTCGTATTTTATTTGAGATAACTTACCTTTACCATTTAATTAGTCGCTTTATAGTTGAACATATTAAATTTTGGATTTGAATCCACTAACTAATCATACTAAAAGAAAACATGGCTTGATTAGTTACCACCAACAATTAATAAGATTTCCAAAGGGAGGTAAGCCATGTAATTGTTATTCACAAATTTTATATTGTTTTTAAGGTCCACTACCCTATTTACTCATAAATTGTTCATTTCTAGCATGCTTTCAAAGATAAACAAGGTCCTTATTTTTTAATTCGTAAAATAATTTGTGCAAAATATTTGCAAAGTACAATAAAAACAATACTTGAAGATCACCGAGATATACAATTCAAATCAATAAACGAAAAGAAAATTCTATAATACTGCTGGCAATTATCACATATATTACATGTTTTACGTTTATAGATTGCATATGACTGCAATATATTCAGACACCGAAATATTAAGGCACAAGTATCGTTTCTATAAGAATGCTTCACTATTTCAAGCTACCTTCCAAACCATAAAATTAGGTCTAAGTTTATTTCTGCGGAATGGTTTTCAAATCAGAAAAACCAGCTTAATGGACCATATGTTGAAGAGCTAAGAGACCCGAAAGGTTCGATTTTTGAGGGAAATGCAATCGGAAATCTCTTATATGATCTGGAAAAACGAATGATTAAAGGTTAACAAAATTCAACAGTGAAAGAGCGTATCAACAAGGAATAACAGAATATCACACCATTTTCAGTCAAATTGAATCTAAAAGCAGTAAAAGCACCGAAACATAAATTGATCCTTAAAATTGTATTTGAAGCTTTCCAAAATAAAATTGAAGTATTTTGGCCGAAATAGCTCAGCGAGAAGCCTGATAGTTCTGATCATCACATCCCATTGTATTTCGGACCATTGCCTCCTAAAAAATGGAAACAACTCTGTTTATTTTGAAAATGTGTTCACAAAGAAAAAAATTAAAAAAAAAATGAAGATCGTGAACACAACAGGAACGAGATGTCACAAAAGAGAGTTCTCTGAATCTTCATTTTTTAAAAATCTAATCAAGTTTCATAAATTGAAAAGTAGATAAGCAGTACTTATTATCCATATGTGGCTCAAAAGAGCCAATGTTTTCTCACACATGTATTGGGTAGGAAGTTGTTTATTACCCTTTCACGAAGCATTTACCGATAATTGGTGGTAAATTACAAGTTATGCGATTTATTTTGAAAGAGTCGGAGAAAAAGGTTGAAAGGAGGTCAACACACAGCTCTTGGCTTGAAATTCAAGTGCTTTTGTGCTGAACAGTACAGTTTTGGATGTTGTTCTGCAGAGACTTTTAAATTCAATATCTCCAAATTTACCTTCTGGTGCAACCCACTGAATATTATTGCGTGGCTCCTTGATGTCACATGTTTTGCAGTGAATACAGTTCTGGAAATTTATTTGAAGCCTTCTGGTATCGAGTCTAGTTTCGCACGGCACATATTCATAAACACCTAAACAGCATAACAAGGTTAAAACAAAGCGAAAACCAAAGATTAATGCTTTCATTATTATCAGAATACTCTCTGCAGGTATCAGGCGTTCAAATTGCTTTAACTGAATCAGCTACCGCGGCACTGCTTCTTTCCACAACTTATGAAACTCTAAAAGTTTACATATTTCCCTTATCGATATTCAAAATTCATAAGATCGAAAATAGGGAAATGCATGAATTATATAAAATAGTTCAAGATCATTTTCAAGTATCCAAACATTTAAATAAATTTAATCGACTATCAAATACTAAAACATGCACAAGTAACCTGTCCTTAGATGAAAATGATACAGAACAGTGGAGTATAGCGCATCAAGAGCTTCATTTTTCTAGAATTACGTATTAAGTAATGAATATCTTTCTAGTGTTAATGATAATGCAAAAAAAAGAGAGCAGTCTCATTAAAGACTACTGTGACGAATAAATCAGTGAACATATGAGAAATTCAACATACACATTTAATTTCATAAAGTAACACCATATGAATCTGCATACCTGCTGGACAAAATCGCTCGGTCATGCCAGCAAATCTACGCCATGTAGTTAACTCAGCATCAGCATCATTTCTCAATAACAGATGAGACGGCTGATTTTCTTCATGATTTGTACCGGTCAGCGCTACCGAAGACAATATATCAAACGTTACTTTGCCATCAGGTTTCGGGTAGTTAACTGATTTTGACTGCAAGTAAAACTGCCATGAACCACATCTATATTATATAATATATAGATAAATGGATAGGAAAATCTAGAGATAAAAGTAAAGGATATCAATCCATATAATAAGTGATGAAATGTCAATAATACTCCAAAAAACAAAAAGACTTCCCAACTGAAACAACTGTCCTACAGAAGTCTAAATTTGCGATCGCAAATACATCCAAGAATGACAATTAAAGGTATCCTTAATCCCATTACTTTAAAATTTTTGGTGACGGCATTGTGCTGAGATCGCATTTATTTAACTCTTTATGAGATGGCATTTATTAAAACATTTTTAATAGTATTTATTAAAACTTCAGACTCGCACCAAATGACGTATTGGAATGTCGGATGAAACAAATGCCGCAAATTATACTAATTATTATCAAATAGCAAACTATATGTTTTGTGAAGGACAAAATTTAGAAATTTATAAAGTGGCGACAAAACTTTGATTTTTGATGCAAGTTTTAAATCTTGACGTAGCCAATTATTCTAAAAATACTAACTTTCCACGCTGAATCTGTTTGAAACCAGTCTTCTATTTTATTTTTAAAAGTCCATGGTTCCTTTCCACGAAGTAATATATAGAAAAATGCACTGTACGGTAAGCCAACAATCCACCCAAAACGACTACCGAAAGACGGACGAATATTGCGCATTTGTTGCATTTCTTTCATTACATAGGTTTTGTACAGTTTTGGCTCGAACTCTTCCGGAATTACTGCTGAAATTTGAAGAAAAAAAAGTCGTAGGAATAAAAGAACTAAGTTGAAATTGGTTGCTACTGTCGTTCTTAGAATAATTCATCGAATAAGGCTTACTTCGCGTTTGCGGACCTAAATCATCCAGTATGGTTTCCGCTGCAACCATACCACTTTTCATGGCATTATGAACACCTTTAATCTTTGCTGGATTCATTAGTCCTGCTGCACAACCAACTAAACATCCACCAGGCACAGTTAGCTGTGGTACAGCTTGATATCCACCTTCATTCACTGCTCTAGCACCATAAGCGATTCGTTCTCCTCCCTCAAGATAATGACGAATGGACGGATGCGATTTAAACAACTGGAATTCCTAAAAACAAACTTTCATAATGTTTTAGCAAAGTCAAAAAATTACAAAAATTTCGAAGTTAAGACAGAACAATGCATCGTTTCTCAAATCTACATTCATTTTAAGCTAAATTAAAATGGACAACACCTGATACAAATTTGTGTAAGGATTCTTGTAATTCAGGCCTATTATAAGGCCAAGAGAGACAAGAGGCTGCCCATTATCTTCGATGTGATACATAAATGATCCACCATGGCTTTGAAGGTCCTGGAAAATAATGTGTACATCACTAATTCCAAGCTAGTCATAAAACATGTTTGATGATTATAGAAATGAATTGATAGAAAGTCAAACTCACCAGTGGATACCCGATGGTGTGTTCCACGTAACCGGGTTTGTGCTTTGATTTATCAATTAACCATAACTCTTTAAAACCAAGGCCATAAGTCATTGGATCGCATTCTTCTTGCAAGCGATACTGGGATTGGAAAAAAATCACTTCTTCGAAATGTCTGAATAAACTACAGCCTTACAATCCAGACTTATAACATAAAACTTACCTTCTCCATTATGAAATTGGTAAGATGTCCACGGCAACCTTCAGCAAATATTGTACATTTTGCGTGTAACTCCATGCCTCGTTGAAAATTCTTCTAAAAAAGATGGAATGGCCACCTACCACTAAATGACACACTTTTGTGTTATGAAATTTCTTTTTTAGTTGGAATCTTTGTTCTTAATTGCAGATAATAATAGCATTCTTCATTTATTTATTGCTAAATTGATATTTTGGATTCTAATTCTTTACCAATTTCTTTTGTTCAGAACGACTGTTGAGCGTCAAATAATTACAAGCAATTATCAAAATGAAGAATTCAAAACCTTTGGAGCACCATCCTTCATTATCCCAACGTCAGCTGTCGCAATGCCTTTAACACTTTCATCTTCATGAAATAGAATTTCCTGAGCTGCTATTCCGGGATAAATTTCTACTCCCATTTCTACTGCTCTTTCGCCTAGCCATTTTACGAGGTGGCCTAACCTGCATTTCAAACAAACAGATACTAATCGTATAAAATCTCTCAGACATTTGGAATTTAAAAAGTAATTACAAATAAATACAACTTACCTGACAATATAATTCCCCATATTGTTAAGTGGGCCTCCGCGAATAAACGGCAAAGCATATCGACCATTTTTTGTCAAAATCGCCATCGACTGAGACTACAAAACATTTGAATGAGGTGGCAAGTTTTCCTCAAAAAAAAAAGTGAAGAGAACTGGAAATAAAACTGACAGTAACTTTCTGATAGACGGGAGCATCCATTTCTTTCCAATTTGGAAAAAGTTCATCCAAGGCTCTAACATCAATCACTGCACCAGACAATGTGTGTGCACCAACTTCAGCTCCTTTCTCTACCACACAAACGCGAATATCTGAAATACTATGTTTAAATGTTGGAAATCCAAAACTGATATATTCCAATACGGTTTCCGTATACAAGTTTCCGATATCTTCATGATACTGCTGGTAAATTTATGAATTTATTGGCTCAACTAATCGTGACAAAAGCAAAGCCAAAATAAGTCTGACCGCGAGAAAATCCAAGCAAAATTTGGAATCGAAAGTATGATGAAAAAAACAAAGATTAAAAATGCCAATAGTTGGGTAAACCAAATTCAAAACAGTGAGAGAGAATAAAAAATGGGACTGCTCCAAAAAGGACAATCCCCACCCTCGATAATTTTAAGCAAATCAATGCAACCTATTAGTCGTTTGTCCAGGAATGAGTTTGAAAAGAACAATTCAAAAAGAAAAAATTTTCAAAGACTTGATTGACCTGAACGAATCCATTAAAACAAGTCTAACCCTTATTATTCTCTTTCGAAAGTTGCTTAAAACGAATAGCTGATGATAAACCAGCTGGTCCAGCACCCACAATAACAATATCATAACTTTCCACTTCTCGTTTCATGTCAACTTTAGCCCAACGAACATCCTTTTCTCTTGGACATTTTAGATAGTGTGAAGTGACCCACTGACCGTTTACCACATTTCGCAAGCACTTGCCTGCTTGAACTGCGCATCGTAACGTTGAATGCATCCGTTTCCTGAATGAGATATCATTAGCTTAGCTTGAATTGATTATTTTAAAGATGGTAGATATAAACTGAATACTACAAATTGAAGCACAGTTGAAGATTAATCATTTTCATTGCTGGCTTTTTGTAATGTCTGCTTAATGGTAGAGAAAAAAAAGAACTGTGCCAGGAAATGCGTGACACAAAGCTTTCAACATACGTATGGGAAATTGCTAATTGCGTCATTTGACGTATAAAGCTATTATGTCCCGTTTTTCATGTTACACGTCTCACGTTGCCTTAACCTGGTCCACCTGGTCTAGAAACATCTCGCCATTCTCAGTCAGCCATACGGCCAATATTCAGCTGCTACTGCCAACAAAACAGTGACCTTGCAGCTTCATAAATGGACGTCGTGTAATTTATTCTTCCGGTTTTTTTTCTTTCCGTAATTTATTCTTCCGTTTATTCTTTCGTTTTTTATTCTTCCGTAATTTATTCTTGACGTAATTTATTCTCCCGTTTTTTCGTCTCCCCTTTCCCCCGTCTTTCGGTGAATATCGTGATCTTGGTCCTGGACTTCAGGTATACCACATGACATTCCCGCTTTCTCTATCTATTCCCGATTAATTTACTCTCAACTTCTCGTTACCAATTACGACACTTAGTTCTAGAATGTCGATCAATTCTTCCTTCAACCTTAATTACAAATGTAAAGTGATACGTTTTATTGTTTGACAATCATATTGGTAAAGTATGTAACGAAATAAATTATTTGCAGATTAATTTGTTGTATTTGGCCAATTACTAATCATAAAATTAATGGCAACACGTCGACGTGGTGTTGGAGTAGGTTTGGTACAGCAGAAGAAAGATCTTCAGGTTATTTTGTTCATTGTAGCACGTATCGCTGGTTATTAAATCAATGAATCTTATTAATTAGTTGTACAATTGCACCACTAACGAAAACATTATTTTCAGGCGAAATTCCAAACGAAAGGTTCCGAACTAGCCAGTGAACAATTAAATCAATTTTCTCAGGAACTTGCCATATTCCAAACGAAATTAGAAGAATTTGCTCATAAACACCGCGATGAAATTCGTCGAAATTCCCAGTTTCGACGACACTTTCAGGATATGTGTGCATCAGTTGGGGTTGATCCACTTGCCTGTAAGTTGGCAGCATCATTATTATAATAAATTGGAGAAAATGTATTTGAAAAATAAGCTCTAAAAATTAGGATTAATTTTTCGTTTTTCTTCATCGTGAAGTTTTTATATTTGTTCAATCTTCTATCAGTGTTATGATAGTGCGTTTGAGATACCGCAAAGCTTTATATATCATTTCAGTTGTGATATATGTTTACAAAACGTTAGGAAGTATTTTATTTGTTGTGATGGAACTGAATACATAGACTGTCTTTTAAATTTGGAATCTTTATAATTTTAATTTCTCGGCTAAGCTTAAGGCTTAAAAATTAGCTTCAAAATAGAAGTTGTGATTTTGGGCCCACTGAATTAGCCAAAATTTCAGAGTTCCAATACTTTATGTTAGCATTCAGATTTTTAATCTATTTCCTTCTAGGTAAAGTCGTAGAAAAAATTGTTTCCTTTCAGCTAGTAAAGGTTTTTGGGCTGAGAAACTTGGTGTCGGTGATTTTTATTATGAATTGGCTGTTCAAATTGTTGAAGTTTGTATGTCAACCAATCACATGAATGGTGGTGTTATGACAATAGAAGAACTAAGAAATCGGCTTCTGCGTTCACGAGCACGAACACGACGTGATGCTATCACCACGTATGAACTCACTGATGGTTTTTTGAGAGTGGTTAAAAGTTAGAGTCAAAAAATATGAGTATTGGAGATGGTTCCGAATGGTATTAGAATTTTCGGTTTTGAGTAGCAAATTTATTGGTTGATTGATATAAGTAAGATTGAGTCCAGTACACTAGATACGTTTTCATTTAAACTTGATTATGTATGGTTTGCAAAAGTAGGAACACAAAAATAATGTCTTTTTAAGTATTGATTTAAATTGTGTTTTTAAATTTAGAGACGACATTTTACGTGCTGTCGACAAGCTGAAAGTGCTTGGTAATGGTTTTGAATTGATTCCGTTGGGAAGTGGACGATTTTTAGTGCAAAGTGTGCCTGGTGAACTGAGTATGGATGACTCACGGGTTTTACAGTTGGCTGAAGATGCTGCTTATGTAACCAAAGTGAGTTCTAGTGAAAATTAATTTATTTAATCTGAAATTTCTTATGCCGGTGGTTTTTCTTTTTTTCATACAACTAATGGGTATTTCTATACATATAGATGGAACACGCTTTTATTTGTGCATACAATGTTTATTTTCTGCGTTTGATCCAAGATTTATTTTATTTTTACTTATTTGTTTTCTTTTTTCATAATCAGTCAACAGACACTGTGCGATACTGGATTCCAAGTCTTTTTCTACAACAGCATAGTAGATCTAATTTTTCTACTGTCATTTGAAGTTTTTTTAATAAGTCGTTTGAATATGAAAATTTTAGATTGAAAATTTTTTATATCCATTTATTTTCAGGAACTCATAATGGATCGTCTACGCTGGGATGAACGGCGTACCGAAATAGTGCTGGAGCATTTAGTGAAAGAAGGCATTGCCTGGATTGATAATCAATCAACAGACACTGTGCAGTACTGGATCCCAAGTCTTTTTCTTCAACAGTATAGCCATTCAAGCAGTTCAACCAGTGTATCTGACAGTGTTGCATCAACTCTTTATTAACGAATTCTTAATTTAAAAAAAAAATATCCAGCTTAATTAGGAACACCTACTTTGTAGAACTGTCTGCATTGAACATGTCACCACATCTACAAATTTTCAGAGTGAAGGACCACGAAAATTCTCAACGGAGCGACCCCAATTCTATTACGTCCTAATTACCAACTTTTCTGGAATCCACTTAAATCATCGAAAATTTTTAAAGATTTTGAAGGTTTGACGAAATAAAGATTAAGCACTTTTGACTTAGATTTAAGCAGGTTAGCGGTTTCCAAATTAGATAATTACGTGATTGCTATAGAGTTTATAGTTATGAAGTTATGGTTTTCATTTTTCGTAATCTTGTTAGCATGTTTTTTTTTTTTGACATAACTGAATTCGTTATCTCCTTATAGTTTCTTCATAAATTAGAGTATGAAATACTGTACTGTTGGTGTGAAGTAGTTTTATGTCATTTTATTGTGATATGTAGTAACGGTAATATTTTTTCTTTTTTTTTCGATAAAATTTCCGCATTTTAGTGATGCTTGCAGCGCATTTAACAACAATTTCAGAGTGATTCATAGACACGTCTAACAACAGTTTTTTTTTTTTCGCTATCAGCTGATAATACATGAAAAGTGTCACTGAGAAGTAGTGCAACTGACATTACTGGCTGTACAGTTTATTAGTTTAAACCTTGCTGTTAATGGATCTTGTATCAGCTAGTCTGAATAGGATCTGATTTTTGTTGTAAAGTCACATTCTAAACTTGTATTATTTTCACTATAGTTTAAGCTATAAACACCGTTAAGAGTTTTGCAATGGCGGGACATTCGGGAAGAAGTTAAGGATATACTGAGGGTATTGATGTGCAATCTAGTAATCATCTAAAATGTTATATAAATTCCCTATATGGATAGTAACACAAGAAAGAAGCGATGTATTGCTAGCTAGAGTTTGAGGGCTGATTAAATAATGCATATCTTGAGGTGAAATGATGCTCGTATCTGGTGTGAATATCGGTCTTACTTTTGTCTATAACGAAGCTTAACTTTCATATTGCTTGTGACTATGGGTAACTGAAAACTTAGGTGTTAAGCGGAGCAGTTGCGCGAAGCGGCACGATAAAAGTTAGATCAGAAGCAACAGTTCGGTTAGTTGATTAAAAGCATCATATAATTAAGCTCTTCGCCAGATAACCGAACTCATTTTTTCCCTTTCGGTAATTCTTTCTTTTTCTTTTTCTTTTTTTTGGTTTTTTAAGACCATTCACCGCGTAAATGCAATTTGTTACTTATCTTAACGAAAATGAGAAAATTTTATTATGCTACAAAATGGTTAATGTACTTAGCATTGGATAGTAAGCTAATTAATGAAAGGGATGTACGAATCAAAGTTCAGAAAGGATGTAAAACCTTTTGTATATCATACTATCATTATAAAAATTGTTGTAGAACTAACAGATCTCCTATTTGTTGAAGTTTTCAAATGAAAACAGTTAATTTTTGCTAAGAATATAGCCAATTTATAAAGCAATGGCGGATATTTTGTCATGACAAGTACTTTGTTAAGTTTACCGATATCCGGTAAAACAGGCGGATACTTTGTCAAGCAATGAAAACGTTCATCCTCTGTTGTGTGGTCAAAACTCCATTCAAATGATAATAATGAATTATTAATTATCTGAAATATTTTGCACCCATCAGCTTACTGTGCTTTTGCGATAAGAAATTAAGCGAAAGATTACGGTTCAATGTCTCTCTCTCTCTCCCTCCCTCTCTCTTTCTTCCTCCCTC